CGGACAGCGCCGTTTCTGACGAGATGCAGCCGGAGTAGTACCGCGTCTGGGCCTCTCCCAGCCAGGCTAAGCACTCCCCAGTAGCTCGGAGACGCGTTAGGAGAGCAGACTCGGGGGCACAGAGGGCTGTGAGGACTCTCGGGGACGCTTAAGGGCTTTTCTCTTTTCCTCCCCCTTTTGTAGCCTGTCTGATAGCAACGGAAATCTTAGCATGTACCCGTTTACAGTAATCCCTAAAAATAAAGCTGCGCCTAAAAAATACATCGTATAGTAGAAGCATTAGCGTTTAGGGGTGTTTTGAATATTACCTAACAATTTTTTTCTTTGCAGAAATAGTAGAATTTCAAAAAATAGTGGGTAGCTTAATTGAACTTGTTGATCAACTGGCAAAAGCTGCTGAAAATGAGAAGATGAAGGTACTGTGCATTTAATTACTGACTTGTCATGTACTCTGCTCTGTACTGTGCGTGAAAAAACAGGTGTCTCCTTCCTTTCACAGCATAAGCAAGCTTTTTCTGTCAGTATCGTACCGGCATTTCCGTGGTAGTTAAGATCTGTCTGTCTGCAATATGAAAGCCTGGGCTTTTTAATTGATCATTAACATCTAGAAGACTTTTATAGGCACACTCAGTGTCATACTACTCCTGCATTTAACAGTCCTCCTGTTGCTGCTTATCTATATATTTGCACATAAATGGAACATGTATTTTTTTAATCACTCCTTCTACTAGTAGACCTTTGTCCTGAAGAGGCAGGAGAGGCTCTGTGAGGAGGAGGAAGAGAAGGGCTTTCTAAAGACCTTCCTCAAGATGAATGAATAGCTCTGTAATTATCTTTGAAATTTTATTTATTTCTGTGTGTCACCAAGTGGTGTGGGGTTTTTCCATGTTATTGTGGAAATAGAAATTAATATTTAGCGCAATTGTAGGTAGTGACTTTTTTCCTTATTTTTTCTGGGGAAAAAATTATAGCAGAGCTTATCTATCTGTAGGACCGGTCACCAGTGACGAGTTTTTATTTCCAGAGGAGTTGGTGACTTTTGTTTAAGGCTGTTATGAACACCTGGAGTGTGAAGGAAGTCTCAAATACCTTCATCTGCGCAACCTCTACAGCAACTGTTTGCCTCTTCCACCAACCATTCAGGGTTAAGACGTCACCCTCCTTTACTGTTAGCGTGTCTGAAACACATCAAAATCAACCTGCTGGTAGTGAAAGAGGTTAGAAAAATAAAAAAAAAACCCAATACAATTTCATGACTGACCATCCTCTTTTGACAGGCCATTGGTGCACGAAATCTGCTGAAATCTATAGCAAAGCAGAGAGAAGCTCAGGAACAGCAACTTCAGGCTTTAATAGCTGAAAAAAAGATGCAGCTGGAAAGGTAAGTTTTCTGTTAAATACTTTTGGGGCATTATGTAGGCTGGAAAGCCAATCTCACCATCTGTGCTCGGCAGCAGGACACTGTCTAAGCTTGTACACACAGTCCATCTGCAGTGAAGGTGTGCCCTGCTGCACAAAGCTCTTGTAAAACCACGTGGAGCCACAGGCCTAGGGTTAACTTGTGGCCCCGTCTGCCACTCCTCAGGAAGGTTCATCTCTGATAACTTGGTGGCTAAACAAACGCAAGTGGCATGAGATCATGCAGTTGAAGAAATTAATAAAATTGTAAATACAGCACCAGGTGTCTGACTGGTAAAGGCACTTCAGAACTGCAAAGTCTAACTCAGGCAGCCATTGCTTTACAGGTGACTGACACACGCAGCCTAACTTCCCTTCACCACAGACCAGTGAGCGTTGTACCAAACCATCTGACATGGGCTGGATGTAGCTGCTGGTAACCATTTTTTTTTTCTTTCAGATACCGAATAGAGTACGAGACACTGTGTAAAATTGAAGCAGACCAGAACGAATTCATTGACCAATTCATTTTTCAGAAATAGATGATTTTAAGATAAAAACAAACTCACTTGGAAACTTGACCATTCCAGAATCTTGAGAATTTAAAAAATATGCAATTTCTCACTGTGCGTGAATGAATAGATGGTTTGTACAAATGGAAGTGTCTTTTAATTCAGTGTGAATTACCCTAAAAGTGGCAATAAGGAGGGCTTTCTAACAGATGTAAAGACTGTTCTGTCCTTTGATTTTATAAAAGTTTTGTACAGTCAGTAGTTCTAATTCAAATTATAGTTGAATTAATACTACTGTTGCTATGTTATGTCTCTCATTTTTTGAATTGTACAGCTCTTTTGAAGAAATCAGGAAATAAATTATTGTTTTCAGACTTTCTGGATATACCAGAATTAGTTGCTTCTGTATGTTATTTTTGAGCTTGAGAGTTTACAACTTCCTAGACTGTCATAATGATTTTCCTATGTGTAGTATTTTTCATGTCTGTAAAGACAAAACATACAATCAGCAGTAACTTGTATCTCTATTGACCAGATTATCTCTATGGAGATAAGAAGAAAACCCAGAAATTCACAATTAACAGAACGGATCAATTGCAGACACACAAAAAAGCAGAAAATGTGGCAGAATTAAGAACTTTAAACTACGTCTGAGGTATGTCTGTACAGGTAGTAATATTGTAGTAGAATTCCTTCATGGGCGTTATTAGTGATAGAGCTGTAAACTGATGAGACAAACCACACTAAGCATACAGTGACACCAGGAGTATATAAAAAACTATCAGTACAAATGTGACATTTAAAAACTGAATGCCTGTGATCTAAAATCAAACCTCATGTTGAAGTGCAAATAGATGCATTTTATTTCTGTCTTTAGGCAACGAAATATGGAAATGTTGGCCTTTTTCAAAGCCTGTGGAAGGTTTAAATTTTATACCAGTGAAGTCCTGAAATATATAGGCAGTGACTGAGAAGCCTTCCTGGGGAGCTGTAATTTACACAAGTCTCCAAGTTTGATTCTTGCAGATCACATTGAGAACTCAAAAAGAAACCCAAAAAAACCCCCAACAAAAAACCCAAACCACCAGCCCAGAATTTCTGTCAGTAGTAGGTTTAATTTACTGTAACTTGTGCATATATTTACTGTGTGAACTATCTACGATCTCATGGTCATTATTTTAAGTCCCTTTTAGTCATTCCCTTAAGAAGATTAAACACAGTTTAATGTGTTTTGTTATTTATTTCCATACTAGAAGTGATTTCATGGAAGACAGCAATTTACAAATCCTTGTTTACAACTCTTGAAGTACTTCAAAATCCTCTGGGAAGTATGCCTCATTGTCAAACAAAGTTCACTTTAAGCATTCAGAAATGCAGATTTTTGCACATTTATCACCGATCAGATATTTACAATCAATCAAAACTGAAGCAAAGGAAGGTGACATTTTAAGGGGAGGGGTGAGGAAGCTAAGGATTACTCTGATTTGAAATGCTTCAAAAGCATAGCTTTGCACATTTGTATATAATCAGTTACAGATTTTACAGAACACACTCTTGGAAAAAGGGGACTTGAAAGAAAAGTATCAGCTGCAGTCATCATCGTCCCCATCACACGGTTACATACCAAATGGTTAAAAGTTAATTTTCCTATTGGTGATGCACCGCCCAACACTGACAGTGGAAGAGGAGCAAGGTCCCTCCACCTGCGTGTGCCCAGAAACCATGGGGAACTGCTAGTACAGGCTTCTGCCAAAACTGGTGCTGAATAAAGGAGAGCTGAATGCTCGAACCGATTCAGTTTTCTTGCAGGAGCCAGATGCTCTGGTAGTAGCTGTTGCAGCCAACAACAGGAGACAGATGTTTGTCCCAGGGGACTATGTCAGCAC